TGATCTATTTTCTCAACTCTCCATCTCACATGACGTATGCGGTAAGGGGCAATCGAAATAGGCTGAGTGCTGACTGAAGATCTATGGTACAATTCAACTTCTCTGTCTACTAGCAGTCTGGATAATTCATTCGGGAAGTCTCGAACTACTGGAATCTCTCAAATATAAATTTCTTTCTTAGGTTTGCTTAGTTGGAGAAAATAGCTGAGTTAAAGCACTTAATAATAGGAAAAATTGCCATGAGGGAATAATGTTTAAAGAATTTTATTAATTTATAAATGATTCTTCATTAGGAGGGTTGAATATAAGTTTCTTATGAAAATAATCTATGGTGGCGTGATACGTCGCTAACCAGTTCATTCCTAAGATTACATCAAAGTCCCTTATGTCAATCTCTATTAGGCACACATTCAATTTTTTATCTACTATATTTATGATACAGACTCTGTATATAACCTCCCCTAGTAGTGTACTACTTCTAAGAGTAGACACAAATAACACAAAATCAAGTCTTTCAAGTAATACATTCAAATTTGATGCAAAAGTATATGAAACAAATGAATGTGAGGCACCAGTATCAATCAAAACATGTGCAAGATTATTACAGATAATGTACGTACCATGTATCATGTTTGAGTTGGCTTCTGCATCTTGCTGAGTAAGGTTGTAAGTCTTGCCTTAGATAGGAGATCTGGCATGCTTCTGATTCCTCAGACACTCCCTAGCGTAATGCTGGACACTCCTACATATGCGACAAATATTGTTGAGGCAATAGCATGGTTGGTCCCCATAATCCTTACCGCAGTGCTGACAAATCCTACCACGTCCTATTGTCGGAATATGAGAAGGAGCTTGAGTCATTGGTCTAGGTCTCTTGTTCTGCTAAACAGATGCAGTAGGTGCTGGTTTGGGGTGTGAAACCGAGGGCCTAAGGTTCCCTACTGCTGGAGAAAAAATACGAAGGTTCCTCTCCACTAGCTGTGCCTTGGTCAGAACGACCGAGTAAGTACTGAGCTCGAACATATACAGCTACTGTCTAATCTCAGGACAGAGGCCCCAATCGAACTTTCTTGCATTTCTGCCTTCATTCATCATGCTCTCAGGGGAATACTGGCCCAACTCTAAGAACTTTCATGCATATTCTAATACAATCATATCACCCTGAATCAGGTGTGCAAACTCCATTTTCTTTAGATACCGGAGATGCTCTGGGAGATACTCTGCATTGAAAGTCATCAAGAATTGTTTTCAAGTGACTAGAATGGGCATGGTGACCTGCTTGAGTTGTCACCAGCGGCCTGCCTCTCCCACCAGCATGTTGGTGACAAGTATGACTCTCTGTTCGGGAATCACCCCAAAAGTCGTGAAGACTTTTTTTGTCTTAGCTAACCAGTACTCTACCTCTTCAAAGGAGGATATTCCTACAAAAGTATATGAATTTAGTCCTTTATACCTCTCAATGTAACTTGGGTCCATCATCGGAGGAGTTGGATCCCGTGGAAGAGGTACTGAATTGTGTTAAAGGATGGACTAGATGGGCCTTGTGGTGGTACTAGATGATACAGTTGAGCACCAGATTGTACTGTGTGTGTTGATGATGCAGTTAGGGCACTGGGCTATACTGTGGTGTGCCCGGGTAATGCAGTTGGGGTACTA